CTGCGTAGCTCTCGTAAATTAGAGTCTTGCTCAGGCCGGAGCTCATTTATTTCTGAGCTGCGCAGAGTCCCTCTGGTAGTTCCACAGCAGTGCAAGAACACCATCTACTGACATAATGAGGTATAACCTCGGGATGGCAACGCATAACAGTGTTAGAATAAGTCACAATAAAACCAAAAATAAGCGGGGGGTGGAGGTGATTTTCTTACAAAATTACACATGTAGCGTCTTCCAACCTACTACATAAACAAACAGATACTAACCAGAAACATTGTTTGTGAAGCTGCAACCAGTGAACAACAGTTCTCACAAATGCAGGCAGAGGTTCACAGACAACGTGTGTCTGTTGATGACACACGTTGATTCCCACCGGTCACCTTTTCTGTGGCCGGAATTGGACACCAAGTCGCACCGATCAGCCCGTCTTCACGCAAGCCGTTTCATCTAGCGTCTACATGCTCCTTCCTCCCAGAATCTGGGCCTCTCCCTCATTGAGGTGCTGACCCAGCTTTTCAACAGATCCTTTCAGCAGCTGATAGGCCACATCAGGGCACACCCAACACCTCAACAGGTGCCTGCTATTGACTAATTTGTCCACTGTCCAGTCAGTCCATAGTGGATTAAAACAATGTCATACATAAACACTCAAAACATGCATTACAAATATCAAAGTGAAATCAAGCAAATAAAATCAGAACCAAACATACAAATAAACTATAAAACAAATACAAATTTCCACTGTGTGACAGTAACCAAGCACAGTGTCCAACCTTTTTGCGGGCTAAAGAATTACTAAACTCTAATCAGCAGTAATTTGTTGCTGTGTTTGCACCTTAAACATTTAATGTTACTGTTTGAGGTATGTAGCAAAACTAAAAGACTGAATGAGTGTTTTCCATGCAGAAGCGCCTTCATCTTACTCATTGGATTCTGCTGATCAGCCTGCTGGTCCGCTGCGTCTCTGCAGTCCAAGCAGCAAAATGCCCACAGGAGTGTTGCTGTGTCCAGCTCAATGTGACCTGTGCCAACAAGAACCTGACCCAGGTTCCTCCTAATGTTGATGAGGTATCTATAAAAATATACACTTACTCATCAGTTTGTTAGATACACCTTGCTAGCAACTGGATACGACCTAGAGGACACAACCGCATCCTCTTCTATCTTCAGAACTGCCTTAATTCGTCATGCATCAACAAGGTCCTAAAACATTCCTCCCAGATTTTGGTCCGTATTAGCATGATAACATCACACAGCTGCCTGCTGCACATCTAAGATGCAAATCTCCTGTTCCACCACATTCAAAAGATGCTTTATTGGACTGAGATCTGGTGACTGTGGAGAAAATATGAGTACAGTAATTTCAGTGTCATATTCATGGAACATGTTTGAGATGATTTGAGCTCTGTGGTACGCTATCCTGCTGGAAGCAGCCATCAGAAGTTGAATGTGGTCATAAAGGGATGGAAATGGTTAGCAACAACAGTCGGGTAAGCTGTGGAGTTTAAACAATCCTCAAAAATGGGGCTGTTTAAACAATTCTCTGTTGAACAGGTGTTTATTTCGAGGCAAATACAAATTTTAATACCCCTGTTAAAGAATGATAAGGCTTCGGCTAAACTTCTCGAGCTGTGGTACCTATTAAATACTTATTATTATCCTCTAATATGTAATCTCCTTATAGAGAACAGTCAAACTGGACCTTCGAGGTAATGACTTACAGGAACTCCCCACTGGGGCTTTCATGCACACCCCCTACCTGACTCACCTGTTGCTGCAGCGCTGTAACATCCACAAGGTGAAGGAGGGGGCGTTCCGTGGCCTCGGTCGCCTGGTCTTCCTCAACCTTGCCAACAACAACATTGACATCCTCTACCAGGTATTCTTAGACTTAAACCACATATATCCCATGATCATTTTAAGTGGTTTTTAAAAAAATAAAAATTAACTTCAAGAAGTCTACCCAACCATTCTCAGTGCAGTCCTTGGTTTTTTTTATGATTCTAGGAGTCATTTGACGGTTTGTCCTCACTAAAGCAGCTTATTATTGACCGTAATCGTGTGGAAGAGATCCAGCCTGGAGCGTTCTCTCAGCTGGGCTCCCTCAACCTGCTCTCCCTCTCACACAATCAGCTGGTTTACATCCCTAATATGGCATTCCAGGTACCCACACTAAACCGTGTGTACAAAATACTTTTACAGAGATGCACCTGTTGCTGGAGCCTTAAATAAAATGCCAGCTTCCTTTGCTTTCAGGGCCTGCAGAATATCAAGAAGCTTCGTCTTAGTAACAACTGTCTAATCTACCTGGACACTGAAGCCTTTGTCGAACTGCTTAACCTAAGACGTCTGAACTGTCCAGGAATCCAATCCTCTGCAACTCGTTGCCTGCATCCACTAAGGTACGATGGGCTGTTGTTGGTCATGTACTGACAGCTTCAGGAAACCTCGGGAAAGTGATCAGCATCCCATCTTTCAGGTGAGAGACTGAACGCTGTCGACCCTCCTAAGCTGAGATGCCAGAGTGAGGAAGAGGAAGCAGCAGGGATCATACCACGACCCACTGAAGAACCGAACAAGGTCAAGTGTCCTGCACACTGTGTCTGTGAGGTGAGTGCACTAGTTTTTTGTATATTTATATTTATTTAATGCCTACCATATATTCCAAACTGACTTTAACCTCTTTACCTGCGTTTGCCAATATAGTTATTACTATATTATTAAAGATTAGCTTTAAGCTTTAAGGCTTTAAATATTAATATTATATATATATTAATATCTTTTCTCTTTATCTAGATATAATATATAGTATATAATGATAGTAGGATATAGTTGAACACATTGAGGAATACACTGGATTCTTGATTAGGTTAGAAAATCAATGCCAAGTTTAAGTCTGTAAAAACTACGGCTGATTTGCCGTTTTTCCATGGCTTGTGTTTTTAATCTACCAATTAACAGCCCTCAAGTTCATTGATCAAAAAAGGCTTTAAATTGAGCCAGCTTTGATGTTTTCCTCTACTTCAGATATTAATGTAAGCTACGATGGTTTCAAATTTAACACACATCAGAATGAATCAGTTGTCCTAACTGACTCTTAAGAGGTTCGTATTTGATCAGAAGTAAAGAAACAACACTTTTAAAATCCAAGTTAGTGGTCTGACTTTAGCTCCTCTAATGTGTGACTGCCCCCTACTGCCACTATGCATGTAAAACAGCTGCAATTCAATAATGTAGTTAAATAGGACTGAAGTTTGGACGCTGAGAGATTCTAATATGTGGAAAAAATGTTTTGCATGTGTGAATGTTGTTTATTACAGGAACAAAACCATTTTCCAAAGATGCATCTTTATCTGTTAAGATTAGCTTTAAGGTCATCATATTAAACCATAACTAACACTAGTAACTAATTTGGATCTTTTCTCTTTATCTAGATGGATGGAGAAAGTTAATCTGAAGGTGTGAGCCACCTGTGCCAAATGAAGGGTATTTCCTTCTGTATAGTATTATTTTATTTTTAAGTAATCTTTTGAGTTGTATTAGATTGTATTGTTTGGTCTAACCTATTTCTTAATGGTAGAGACTAATGAGGTGCATGTGTGTGTAAAATTCTGTACAAAACAAGTAAGATTTTGACAACCGAGGTTGTTTTAAAATGGTACTAGATGGTGCCAGAAAATAAGGTACACTTGTAAGAAATTTGACCAGTCTGCTGATGCTGTCTACTTATCACCTTCCTTACCACTCGCTTTACACAACCTCACAGCCAGCAAAGGCCCCCAAAGCAACCAAAACCAAACCGATTGACCTCAACGGTCATCAGCAGGTCAAGATGCTCAAGGCCAAATCCAAAATTTGTGGGAGTCCAAACACAAAGCAGGGTGCAGCAAAGAAAGCTGCTAAAAGCACAAATGTGTTTAAAATGATTAATGACTGTAACCTGAAGTGAAGCGAACATCCTACATTTAGTAATTAATCGAGTTAAAATTTACAAAAAAGAAAGAAGACAAAAAACTGAATTTATTTCAGAAACATGCTTTTAATCTCGGTTTAATTATCATCAGTGTTTCTGAAATAAACTGGGAAATTTGTAGAAGAGATCCCACCAGACGCTGATACAACTACTGATTTTTTTGTGAAAACCTGGTTCAGGAGTGCTAAGACAGAAATTGTGATGCCAACATTATTATAATCTATAAGTAAAATAAATAAAAAGGTGTCTTTTTTATATGTATTTGAATAAATTCTTTGAAGGGAAAGAAGAGCAACGTTAGGGAGAGTTTGTTTACTCACAGCTGTCATTGTGCTGCTCATAGGGACCAACCCATACTGCAGGATCATC